CTCAGATTTCCTGTAAGTCACGTACCCGGTCCTTTGAGAATAACCGAAAACAAGATTTTTAGGGTTTTAGATCGATTGGAAACGGTTGTCGTCGTGAAATTTGTCGGTAAAATCAGCGCATATTTTCCCAGACAAAATGGCGATTTAGGGTGGTCGTGTTAAAACGGCATTTTCTCAAAGTTAAAAAAGCATTTGGCCTAAAAAAATATATGGTGCATTTTCCGATATAATAAGGTATATCTGGGCAAAATTTGAGCAAAATCGATTTTTCCGTCGTGGCCGCCTTATGTTTGATTTTTGTGGACATCCTCTCTTAAAACCTTCGAAAAGTGGCGAAAAATATGGACAAAAATTTAAGGCCTTTATACCTTTTGACCATTTTAATCGCTTTTTGACATTCTCGAAACGAGGCTGAAATTCGACAAAAAGTTAAGGCTAACTTTTTGAACATTTCAGGAACTTTTGAAGTTTTCAAAAAGGTGAAAAATGGCGAAAAAGTAAAGGAGTTAATAGCTTTAACTTTTTTCAAAAAACGTTCACCTTTACTTGTTGTTAGGAAAAGATAACGAGTTTTTTCCATTTTTAACGCCATTTTCTAACACCAAAACTGTCAATGGCAAATTTGACGAAAAGGGACGGAAATTCGAGGGACGTCTCGAATTTGTGGTCAACTACTAAACTTACTTGTTGTTGGGAAAAGCTAAGGATTTTTTTCACCATTTTTGACGCCCTTTTCTAACACCAAAACCGTCAATGGGAAAGTTGACGAAAAAGTAATGGCTACCACGTAAACAGTTCGAGGGACGTTTTGAAAGTCAACTACAAAACTACATTTACAGGTATAATTATTTCAGCATAAAAATGTTTACAGCTGAACTATAGCCATGTATAAATTCAAATTGAATTTTCACTCTTTTTAAAATGTTCACGCATTGTGTATATATATACAAATGTTAAAAACATTATTAATATATTAAATATTATAGAACTCTCTTTTAAGACAACTTGTCAACACCAGGGAAGTTTTTTATATAAAAGGCGACCACCATCTTCCATTCCTGACGGTAAATCCTATATCAAGACTCCGGGGGGATTAGTTGTTTCAAACACGCTTGAGGGAGAGGGCTTTCTTGGAGAGTGGACCAATAGCAAATTGCATATTGGCCAGGGATGGGCGCGGGCTTATAGATTTCTCCCTCTAAAATAAGCGTGGAAGTTATTACCAAAAGGCTACCCCTAACGAATAGGAGCTTATATTATTGTAGACGGCCGGCCAAGTCATCAATTTGTACAACTGGATGGCAACTTTATGTTAGAAGCTGGTAACAGGCATTTTCTTATAGTTCAAGCCTTGGTGAACAAGACTATATGTGTTACCACTTCTGATTTTTGCTTTATAGCTAAAAATTTGAGAATTTTTAAATTTTGCCTATTAAATTACTATGATCGGAAAAAATGTAAAATTTCATGTTCTCTTATACGAAAAATAAACTATACCACTAGAAAGAGCGTAAAAAACTATATATAAGACACCTAAGTGAGTTCTACGTTTTTCCAATCCTATTTCGAGTTTTTAATGTTAAAAAATGTAGAAATGACCAAATTAGTGCTAATTAGTACTCATTTTGCCAAATTTGACCATCTTTAATTCAAAATCGGCTTGAAAATCGCACTAGTCGCTTAAATATCTTATATATAGTTTTTTGCAATCTTTCTAGTGGTATAGTTTATTTTTTGTATAAGAGAACATGAAATTTTACATTTTTTGCCATCATAGTAATTTAATAGGCAAAATTTTAAAATTCTCAATTTTTTGCTTACAAAGCAAAAATCAGAAGTGGTAACACATACAGTCTTATTCACCAAGGCTTGAACTATAAGAAAATGCCTGTTACCAGCTTCTAACATAAAGTTGCCATCAAACTCTCTTTAGAGGCGCTTTTTGCAACCTTGGCCGGCCGACTAATAGAGAATCTACCGTATGCAAGAGCAAAATATCCGAGCAGTAGTGAGCCCAATTCGGCCAGTTTTGATGTTCTGACTGTTGGTGTACGGCCGAAGCTGAGCTAATAATGGTGACCAGATCGAACGCAGCAAAAGCTCAGCGTGTTGGCGGGACGGAATTTTCTGTGTGTGTGTGTAACTGCCTTTTATGGAAGGTGGCCTGGACCCCATTCCAACATTCTCTGCTCACAAAGCAGATTGTCAATCATTGATCCAATAGCTCTTTGAGCTTTTGTCGTAATCTGTGCGACTTTGCTTGAGCCTGCTCAAACAGAGATTGTCCCATTAAAGAATAAAGTAGGTTAGCCAAACCGTGAACGGCTTCCTTCATATTTCCACTGCCAGTCGATGCACTGCTCGAAGACTCGAGAAGTTTCCACATCACTGGTAGAGCGTATTTTGACACAATGGATGGTTTTCGCGGATAAACATCTTTGATAATACCTGAAATAAACGAAAATAAATTTGGGAGGTGTTTGGGGTAAAAGGAGGTACTTAAAAGATTCGTTGTTTTTGATTGGCTAACAGCCAACTGGGAAATCGCCATATCAACTCAATAGTTCGACTAAATAAGGAGCTCTGAGATAATATTTAACGGAGTGACGTCATAATGCTGATATGATTTTTCATAATATTTTTATTGAATGAGGTTGAGTATAATATCGAGAATTATCAATGCCGAGGTTTGAGTTTTCCGCCGAAGCCGAAGGCTGAGGTGGATAACACAAACCGAGGCCTTGATAAATCTTGATATTATACGAAAACCGAATTCAATAATTGTTTTATTATATATTCAAAAGTTCGAGAGAAACCAAAGTCATTTTGGTTACGCTTTTAAAATTATTGAATTTTCGAGCGCTTTTTAGCAAACACTAGACCGCGCCGGAGCTCGGTAATGCAATAATACTTTCTTTATATCCGATAAAGCACCGCCAGTAAGCACCCCTGCCCGTGTTTTAAATAGTACATGATATTATAATATTATAAAACTATTATAATATTATAGTAATATTATGAACAAAAAAATTTTTCGTTGCTTATAAATTTCATGAAATTAAAGCTCTAGATACATTTTCGATTGATATTACAGACTAGATTTAACAATATCTTATTTCGAGATTACGCTCTAGTTGTAAAAAACAATAAGATGAAGTCGAGGGTTCGTGCCAAATACAGAAACATAACAACTTTGCACAACACCTCGTTCTCATGCTATTGTCAGCGGGCCGTTTCACCGTAATTCCGAAATGATTGATGGTGAAACTTAAATTATTAAAAGACATCGTTTTTCTGGAATGATATTTTTAATCTTACTAGCAGCCGGATTTGTGCACTTTTCTCAATTGAAAAGCAATCTTCAAGATTCAAAATATTTCGCTCGTTTTTATTTATTTATTTATTTATTTATTTAGCTTTGCCAACTAGGGCAGGGTCACCACAACAGCATATGCCAATTACTGTGGGCCCTTTTTACCTAACCCAC